CGAGGAGGAGCGGGCCATCTTCTCGGGCGACAACGTGCTCGGCGCGGGCTCGTCCTGGTTCGAGGACCTCGCGACCTACATGCGCACGCTCAACGACATGCTGCGGCTCGCGGAGGGCGAGAAGCTCGTCGCGCTCTACCCGGGCCACGGCCCGCCGAGCGCGGACCCGGCGGCGAAGATCCGGGAGTACGTCGACCACCGCGGCGCGCGCGAGGGCCAGGTCCGCGCCGCGCTCGACGACGCCGGCCGCACGTCGCTGGAGATCGTCCTCGCCATCTACCCGAAGCTGCCGCCCTACCTGACCTTCGCCGCGCAGCACAACGTCCTCGCGCACCTCGCGAAGCTGCGCGCGGACGGCGTCGCCGAGAACCGGCGCTTCGACCTGTGGGCGCGCGTCGCGCCGTAGTGAATTTTTCGAGCGAGAGCGATGTTAGGTACAGGGAGCTGGGGGCGCGCGCCGCGGGCGGCGCGCGGGGCGCAGTGACCATGGGATGTCGAAGCGCTTTCAGTGACCATGGGGTGCGCCGATGCCGGGCCGCGCGTCAGACGCAGATCATGGCGTCGTCCTCGACGTCGTCGTCGAGGGCCATGCCGTCCATCTTCGCGCAGTCGACGTCGTCGCCGGCCTCGTAGACGAGGCCGACGAACGCCGCGATCTTGGCCCCAACTTTCTGCGTGGCGCGCTTGTTGTAGGCGACGAGGCGCGCGAGCTCCATGCGGCGGCGCATGACCGCCAGGGCCGCGCCGAAGCGGGCCTCCGCGGCGCCGCGCGTCTTGACGAACGACGGGCTCCACATGAGCTCGGGCCCCGCGACGAGGTTGCAGGTCTCCGTGCGCGCCTGGCAGTAGACGACGCGCTGGGCCTCGCCGCCGGCGGCGGCCCAGCCCCCGGCGTCGAGCTTGGCCTGGAAGACCGTCTGCCACATGGCGTCGTACGCCGTCTTGATCACAGCCGACTCGACGAGCCGCGCCTCCGAGGAGAGCCAGAAGTTGCAGGCGAACTTGTTGTGGCGCTTCCAGGACAGCTCCTCGGCGTACTTGGCCGTCAGCTTCGGCAGGTCCGCGACGGCGGCGGCGCCCGCGGCCTCGGCCACGGGCCACGCGCCCGCGGGCGCGGGCTTCGCCAGCGCCGCCATGGGGATGCTTGGAGCGGGTGCGCGAGGTGAGTGTGGGAGCGTGGGGTGCGAGGTGCGTCGCGGGCGACCGGCCGTCGCTGTGGGGGGGCGTGGGGGGCGGGCGATGATCGGCGTCGGATAAACTTCGAGTGTTCTCCGCACTGTCGCTCTGATGACCGGGAAATCGAGTCGAGCAAAGATCCCCTCACCCCTAGCCTTGCGCCGCAAAGTTGCAGGGGGCTGCCCATTCGCTCGGCCCGAAGACGGGTGGCTGCCAGGCTCCGGCCCGTGTTTGACCGAACTTGCCCAATTCCGCTGACTCGACCCGAAGCAGCAGCTGCTTGTTCCGAACTTCACTTCTAAGTTCACGCCGTGATGCACGTGCGCAATGCTAACTTCAGCACCCGAAATTTTGCCTGCGGCATTCTATCGTGGCCGCGTCGGCGACAGAATCGCAGATCCGCCGCAAGCACAGTTATAACACCGACATGGGCCTGTGTCAATCCGCACAAGATGCCTGCATGGCCGCGCAGAAGCAGGCCGAGGACGGCGTGCGCGCCGCCGGCGGCGGCGACGCGCTCGAGAGGACCACGCGTGCTTCCTGTTGGAGGAGGAGCGGGCCATCTTCTCGGGCGACAACGTGCTCGGCGCGGGCTCGTCCTGGTTCGAGGACCTCGCGACCTACATGCGCACGCTCAACGACATGCTGCGGCTCGCGGAGGGCGAGAAGCTCGTCGCGCTCTACCCGGGCCACGGCCTGTGTGGAATTCAACCACTGGTTG